CAGCTCAGCTCAGCCCTGCCGCGCCCGGGCGGGGCGGGGCGGGGTGGAGTCCTGCGCTCGCGGGGCCTGGGCCGGCGGCCAGTGAGACGGCCCGGCACCCCGAGCAGGCAGGGCGCCTTTTCCTGCCGCCCAGGTAGCCCCCTGCACCGCCCGGGGGAGCGGGCACAGGCCCATGGGCGGATCTAGGGTCGCGGGAGCGGGGCAGAGATGTACCTGCCTGTGGAGCCGCAGGTGTTGTTCCTCGTGTAGGGAACCACAAATGGCTATGGTGTATGAAGCCCCGCACGTGTTTGTCCCTGATGTATGAAACCACATGGTGTTCCGTTCAAAATAAGCTAGCAGCTTTGCTAACAGGTGAGGGGTAGTAGGGGAGCCTGAACCAAAGTAACTTCATTGGGCTGAGATGACAATGTGCAGAGGAGCTGCAGCGCCAGGAGCGGAACGAAGACTAACCGGAGGGTGGCACAGCGGGAGCATTCACAGGAAGAGAGGGCGGGGCCCTAACACCTGTGAAATGAAAGCATTGCAGGGAGCATGGGGCATTATCAAAAGCTATGATGTCAGTGGACTCCCTCAGCACTGCCTGCCTAGAAATGCTGCTGCCACTGCTTTGATTTGTGGTTCTCTTTTTTCCCCCAGACCAAGACAGCTACAACATAAATCCCGCCTGCCACTGCCAGGCACTTTCAAACTCTGGGTGGAGAAGGAATCAGGGGAGCTGCACAGATACCCGTGCATCCCGTCCCACCCTGCTCCTGGATCCATCCCTGGGAGGCCCAGAGTCAAGTGGAAGAAACCCAGACCTTGGCACTTAAGAAACAACTTGCACAAAACAAGATCTTTCTGATCCCTGCAAAGTGGCTGTGGTTTCGGCCCTGAGGCATACTACTGCCCTTTCCCACACACTTCAAGATTTATTGCATCATTTAAGTGTTGTTAACTCTTCTGTTTTTCATCACCTTTGAGAGGCGGCAGCATTGCAAAGGGTATTGAGAGCTGGCCCTTTTGTAGCACAGGGGTTCTCAAGTTTTTTAGACTTGAGACACCCCTTAAAAATGCCAGCTCTTAGTTTTCCTCATTTTTTGGCTACAGAAAAATAGTAGAGCAGTTTCTCTGTTGCAAAGAATTCAGAAGGACCACAACTGTGTGTAACCCTAGTCACGGTGCTACCCACGGCCACGTCCGGATTCAGGGTCTTGGGGTGTCAAATAGCCTCTGTCAACCTCCCAGCCCCTAAGGGTAGGGCCACCTCTCCATGGAGTGCTTTCTTGTAGTTTTCCCACACACTAGAGTATATACGGTCCAACTATTTACACAGTTTATTATTTACAAAACTGTCAACATATGAATAAAGTTAATAGAACAGCATATCAGTAATCTAATTGTCAAAGGCACACATCAGTGAACTAAAACACTATACAGATTGAATCAAAGACACCCTCCGTACAACTCCCCAGCTTAAGTCTCGAGACTCTAGTGAATTTCAGCAGGCGCACATGGGGTTAACTAGCCATCAGCTCTCCTTCACACTGGCAGCACAATAACCATGGCTGGTGCTGCGGCTCCAGAAAGTCCTGCTCTCTGCTAGAGCCTGCATGGGAAAGAGCAGCTCTCTTCTGCTCCAGCTGTCTGTGTTATCTGCAAAGAAACACACACTGTCCTCTTTCCCCAGAAGCACCCGTCTCCTGTTCCCAGACACCGGCCCTTGTGCTGATAACTGAAACAACCTTATGTTTAACCACCCACTCATCCCCAGGCTGGTTCTCAGTTAACTCTCCCTAGAGCCTTCCCAGATCAACACCCTGCCCTCCTAGGCAAGCCTACCTTACTACCCTTTTTTCCTCCACATGGGTCCCTCTGCCTCACAGAGGGAAAAAGGATATCAGGTTATCTTCTCCCCATCACTAAGGGCAGGTTCACTTCACAGGCAGGCTTCACAGGGTGGTTCCTCACCAAGCTCTGTGGTCCTAGGGCACCTTCCCTACTCTGAGCCTGGCTGAGTCCTTAAGGCGCATACGCTCTCCAGCTCTTTAACTTCAATGGAGGATCAGATGTTGTTCCCAGGATGAGTAACTCTGGCTACCTCCGTACTAGCCCAAGCCTCAGGTTTATATCTTCCCAGGGCCCTGCCCCCTTCTGGTCAGCAGACAGCCTGGGCAGCCTGCAGGTTCCAGCCAATTGGCCTAATTGCCCTGTTGTCACAATGACCTTTAGCTGCTGTGCCCTTCCTGCCAGGCAGTGGTCCCTCACTGGGCTGCATCAGCCTTAAAAGAACAGAGATCCCCAGGCTTTCTGTTCCAAGAGCATGGGAAAAGGTTTTAATTTCCTGTCTGTGCCTAGACAGTAGAAGCTAACCACTGACTAACAGTGAACAACTTCTCTACCTTGGCCTGTTCCCAATGTCTGAGTGACAGCACTTGTTCTGGGTAGGGCCGGTTTAGGTAATTGAGGGGTATAGCTTGGCTATGTAGTCTTATAAAAAGGCAGCCCCCAGCAAGCTGTGGGGGAAGCAAACAGGGAGTTTGTTTAGGGAGTTCACCCGGGAAGGGAAAGTAGTTTCTCTTTTGCCACAGAGGAGGATGCAGACCAATGGCTTGAAGTTGCAGCAAAATAGATTTTAGATTGGATATCCTGAAAAAAAAATTTGTCACAGTTACAATAGTGAGACAATGGAACAGATGTGGGGGTTTCAACCAGGGGTATGATTGAACCAGGGGTTTTCAACCTGATTGGCTGGGGGGGCACCCCCCCACTCACCAATTGGCTGCTGGGGGACCCCTCAGCCCCCCACTCATCGACTGGCTGCTAGAGGACTCCTTCCTTCTCAACCAGCCACCAGGGATACACTGACCCAAAAAGCTTGAAAACCCCTGGAACAGACTGTCTAGGGAAGATGTGGACTCCCTCACTGGAGGTGTTTAAGAAGAGGTTGGAGAGCCACTAGTTGGGGATTAGCTAAGCATAGCTATGTATAACAGGGCACCCTAGCCCTTTGACTAAGAGGCAGGGCTGCCCTTTTAAGACCCAAGTCTATAGGAACTCCAACCACCAGGATGGTAGGGGTTAGTAGCCCACCCACCCAGGCTGGTCAGCTGACAGGCCTCTGGGCACATATAAACCCCAGGGCGGAGGTTGGCAGGGGAGGTTTCTGACAAGTGGTCAGGGAAAGAGAGAACTCCTGCATGGCAAAGCTACTCAGAAGTGCTGTTGTCCCAGTTAATGAGGCTCCAGGAGTCTACAAGGTACCCAGAGCTGGGAGGTACTCAATACTTGACAAGTGTTTGGGGTTTTTAAGGAGCCAGGGTGTGGCTTGTAGTACTTGTTTTATATTATAGTCCAGGGGCTCATATTTATGTTATTATGGAGGGGCTATCACCAAAGAGGAGTATACATCCATTGCTTGGGCTTGTCAGGGGGCTGTTAGGAAA